CCAAAGCGAGCCTGTCCTAAAACTTGCTGGCTAGTACGCTAACCACTGTACCAAGTTGGCCAAACATAAATTATCTACCTAGTTGTATCTCTCTATACACTAGGCAGGTTAGCATAGGCACCAGTCACCACAAATGCTAATTTTTAATGACAAATCTCCCACCAAGACAGCTGTGGCAAACTAGCCCAAGTACCTTCAAAACTGCTACCAAATTCATGAAATCATAATAGCATAATTGAAAACAACTCGCAGAACAGATGGAGTTGAAATCCATTGCAAGTCAGTTCTAAAACTAGCAGGCCAGTGCACTAACCACTGTACCATGATGGCCTATTAAAATTCACCCAACAAAGTGTATTATAACTCACAAAATCTTAATAACATGATCGCAAACAAACCATGGTACGGGTGGGGCTCAAACTCACGGGAAAGTGAGTCGTAAAACTCCAGGCCAGTGTGTAAGTCAGCTGGGACAGTGACTTATACACTAGCCTGATGTTTTATGACTCACTTGCCATGAGTTCAAGCTTCACCCATACCTTGGTTTGTTTAAAGTGTATTGTTATACACACACTTGGTTGAGCTATATATCCTGGGTTGTCAAAATTTAATGAAATATACAATTTCATACAAATAAACATTAAACCATAGAAAATGTGTTTTATTTAACATAATTTATATGATGCTGAAATTACATTACCATTACACTAAATGTTTCGTGTAAAAACAGTATAAAAATTGTACAGTACATAGAGATACAGAAATTTTTTTGCAGTATTTCCAACCCCACGAGTAGCAACATTTTCAAATGGACAGTATGCTGCTAGTACCCACAGCCTAATGGATCAGGCCATGAAACCAGGAGGCATGGTTTGGGACCAGGCTGCAGGAGCAATGACTTTTGGAATCAACAACCTATGTAGATATACTACATATCCTACAACATTCAAACAAGTAGATTTCCTGTTGTATATTAAAATTCTAAAGCGATATTACACAAATTTGTATTAATCCAACACAGATTTTAAAACTTCATCTATTAATTTTTACACAGAATTTATCCAAAATTTTTGTGTTTTTTATATAAATAATCAATGGTTATAGTGTATACAGGTAAAGTACTGAAATTGCTTTACATGTAACTTCACAATTTTTAAAACACTATTAAGAAGGACAAAGAACCAGTACCACTGTGATACATCACACAGCCTCCTCAGCTGGAACAAGGAAGGTAATATACAAATAACCAGCACACTGTTGCAGTCACAGTACTGTGCCCTATTGTTCTTGAAGGGAAGGCAAATCTGCCATCACCCCTACAAGGTGTGACGTAATCTCTGCTAATCTCACTGCCAGCACTAACTTGATCGCTAAGCAGTTTGTAGAGATTACTACATTTTACTGTATGTACTTGTTTACAAACTCCTTCTGTCCATATATTTTCATCCACTGTGTAATCACTGATCACAATCAGGATCATTTTTTGTTTATTATTTGCTATTATGGTACAATCCATATTTTGCACCAGTGAGAATTACAGAAAATATCCCATTTGTTTCAATTCTTTTACTTTAAACTTTGAGATGACAATGATCATGTACACAGAACTATAGTTACGAAACTGAAAACTTTTAATGTACACTACCATGTCAGCTGAAGATACTAACTATAATACTGTTCTGAATAAAGAAATTATAACAGACACCACCATGTGTGGGAGCACCTTACAAGTACTCTACACAAATATCCTGCACAGAAAGAAACTTATGATGATGTTTTGGTCCAACTTGGACAGAAGTTGAACCAAAACGTCATCTAAGTTTTCTTCTAAGCATTGTTTTAGTCACAGTATTGTGACATTTAATTTTTTAGAAATACTGTAGGTTGAAAAACTAAAAGTAAATGCTATCTCCTGGCATTAAATGCAAAAGTTTTAATTACTGTATATGCTAAAAAAAAATTATTATTATTAATTTTTATTATCACACTGGCCGATTCCCACCAAGGCAGGGTGGCCCGAAAAAGAAAAACTTTCACCATCATTCACTCCATCACTGTCTTGCCAGAAGGGTGCTTTACACTACAGTTTTTAAACTGCAACATTAACACCCCTCCTTCATAGTGCAGGCACTGTACTTCCCATCTCCAGGACTCAAGTCCGGCCTGCCGGTTTCCCTGAACCCCTTCATAAATGTTACTTTGCTCACACTCCAACAGCACGTCAAGTATTAAAAACCATTTGTCTCCATTCACTCCTATCAAACAGCTCATGCTTGCCTGCTGGAAGTCCAAGCCCCTCGCACACAAAACCTCCTTTACCCCCTCCCTCCAACCTTTCCTAGGCCGACCCCTACCCCGCCTTCCTTCCACTACAGACTGATACACTCTTGAAGTCATTCTGTTTCGCTCCATTCTCTCTACATGTCTGAACCACCTCAACAACCCTTCCTCAGCCCTCTGGACAATAGTTTTGGTAATCCCGCACCTCCTCCTAACTTCCAAACTACGAATTCTCTGCATTATATTCACACCACACATTGCCCTCAGACATGACATCTCCACTGCCTCCAGCCTTCTCTTCGCTACAACATTCATCACCCATGCTTCACACTCGCATAAGAGCGTTGGTAAAACTATACTCTCATACATTCCCCTTTTTGCCTCCAAGGACAAAGTTTTTGCCTCCACAGACTTCTAAGTGCACCACTCACCCTTTTTTCCCCCTCATCAATTCTATGATTCACCTCATTTTTCATAGACCCATCTGCTGACACGTCCACTCCCAAATATCTAAATTTACATTCACCTCCTCCATACTCTCTCCCTCCAATCTGATATCCAGTCTTTCATCACCTAATTTTTTGTTATCCCCCATAACCTTACTCTTTCCTGTATTCACTTTTAATTTTCTTCTTTTGCATACCCTACCAAATTCATCCACCAATCTCTGCAACTTCTCTTCAGACTCCCAAGAGCACAGTGTCATCAGCAAAGAGCAACTGTGACAACTCCCACTTTATGTGTGATTCTTTATCTTTTAACTCCACCCTCTTGCCAAGACACTCGCATTTACTTCTCTTAAAACCCCCCATCACAAATATATTAAACAACCACGGTGACATCACACATCCTTGTCTAAGGCCTCTTTTACGGGAATAATTTCCCTCTTTCCTACATACTCTAACTTGAGTCTCATTATCCTCGTAAAAACTCTTCACTGCTCTCAGTAACCTACCTCCTACACCATACACCTGCAACATCTGCCACATTGCCCCCCAAATCCACCTTTGTCATACGCCTTTTCCAAATCCATAAATGCCACAAAGCCTATTTAGCCTTATCTAAATACTGTTCGCTTTTTATTTTTTCACTGTAAACACCTGGTCCACACACCCCCTACCTTTCCTAAAGCCTCCTTGTTCATTGCTATCCTATTCTCCGTCTTACTCTTAATTCTTTCAAAAATTTCTCAAAACCTACACTTTACCAGGTAACTAAACAGACTTATCCCCCCTAATTTTTTGCATCTCTCTTTTTGTCCCCTTTGCCTTTATACAAAGGAACTATGCATGCTCTCTGCCAACCCCTTTAGGTTACCTTACCCCTTTCCCCATACATTTATTAAATAATTGCACCAAAACCACCCAAAACTATATCCCCACCTGCTTTTAATTTTTTTTTCTATCTTTATCTCATCAATCCCGGCTGCCTTACCCCCTTTCATTTTACCTACTGCCTAACGAACTTCCCCCCCACTCACAACTGGCTCTTCCTCACTCCTACAAGATGTTATTCCTCCTTCCCCTAAACACGAAATCACAGCTTCTCTATCTTCATCAACATTTAAAAATTTCCTCCAAAAATATCCCCCCCCATTTTCCCCAAATTTACCTCTAACTCTCCATTTAATAACTCTCCTCTCCTATTTTTAACTGAAAAATTTCCATTTGTTTTCTAGGCTTCCTTAACTTGTTAATCTCACTCCAAAACTTTTTCTTATTTTCAACAAAATTTGTTGATAACATCTCATCCACTCTTTCATTTGCTCTCTTTTTACATTGCTTCACCACTCTCTTAACCTCTCTCTTTTTCTCCAAATACTCTTCCCTCCTTGCATCACTTCTACTTCGTAAAAACTTCTCATATGCTAACTTCTTCTCCCTTATACTTACTCTACATCATTCCACCAATCGCTCCTCTTCCCTCCCGCACCCACTTTCCTGTAACCACAAAAAATAAACAATAAAAATGCCCAATAAAGGCTGACCTTATTTTATGGGTATTAAAGCTGGAGGCAGTGGAGATGTCATGTCTGAGGGCAATGTGTGGTGTGAATATAATGCAGAGAATTCGTAGTTTGGAAGTTAGGAGGAGGTGCGGGATTACCAAAACTGTTGTCCAGAGGGCTGAGGAAGGGTTGTTGAGGTGGTTCGACATGTAGAGAGAATGGAGCGAAACAGAATGACTTCAAGAGTGTATCAGTCTGTAGTGGAAGGAAGGCGGGGTAGGGTCGGCCTAGGAAAGGTTGGAGGGAGGGGGTAAAGGGGGTTTTTTGTGTGCGAGGGGCTTGGATTCCCAGCAGGCATGCGTGAGCGTGTTTGATAGGAGTGAATGGAGACAAATGGTTTCTAATACTTGACGTGCTGTTGGAGTGTGAGCAAAGTAACATTTATGAAGGGGTTCAGGGAAACCGGCAGGCCGGACTTGAGTCCTGGAGATGGGAAGTACAGTGCCTGCACTCTGAAGGAGGGGTGTTAATGTTGCAGTTTAAAAACTGTAGTGTAAAGCACCCTTCTGGCAAGACAGTGATGGAGTGAATGATGGTCAAAGTTTTTCTTTTTCGGGCCACCCTGCCTTGGTGGGAATCGGCCTGTGTGAAAATAATATAAATTAATAAAGCAAAAATCAACTAAATTATTCACTACCAAATACTGTACCTTTTCTCAATCATAAGTTTTCCAGACTTATAAGTAAAACTAAAATACTGTTGATTTACATACCCTCCTAAATTTTTTCTTGATTTCATCAATGGGAGTCTTGGGATCTACCTGCAACACTTCAAATGGATTGAGATTGGCATATGATGCTCCAGGTCGTAAGAGACGATCAATCTGCTGCTTTGACGTTAACACAGAATCTCTCTTTTCAGTTTCTTTAAGCTGGAAAATTAAAAAGAGGAGTTAATCATAAAATAAAACGTACAGTGAATAGTATAGCGAGTGCTTGCTTGACCAGCCTCATTCAGAATCAGGATTATCAAGTATCACTCAGACTTGCCAGTTTGGATACCAAAACACTGAACTGCAGACAATTTGGGAAAGGAAGAGTGAAATGTAAAGAGAATTCAGTCGTGGATCTACAGCCATGCACCCAAAAATAAAAAATAAGCTAAGCATATTTTACTGTATAATACTTGAACAAACAATAGCAATCATCTTAGTGTTCTCTGTCTTGGTAGTCATGTGCTCATCTTTAACAGTTTTACAGTGTCTGACTGATAATGGTTTTCTGTTGTTATTAACTACCTGTTTATGTTGGGAGACAGGGAAGACAGAGGGAGGGAGGGAGAGAGAGAGAGCATTTGTGAGAGGAAAGTAGAAAAGGTGTGGGAGACAGCTTCTCTGTCTCCACTCCTACCTTGCTCTTTCCTAGAAACATTTTCAATTTCCTTCCCTTTTACATACCCTCCCAAAATTCCTCCATCAAATGTTTGCAAACTTCTCCAAAATCTGTCAAAAGAAGTGTCATCATCATCATAAAAAAGCAACTGTGATATCTTCCATTTTGTATCAAATATATTTTAATCCTTAAACCCGACCTCAACACCCTTAGGGAATCACTTCTTTCAGAACCCCATCTATAAATATGTTAAAACAACCATTGCGACATCACACATCCCTGTCAAGGCTTACTTTTTTTTAAAAATATTCCCCTTTCTCCTGTATACCCTAACCTGCACCTCACTATCCACATAAAAATTATTATTTTATTATTATTAGCTATTATTTTTTATTGTGTGGAATAAACCCTTAGGGACTACACCTATTCTATACATTTGCAATATCTGCCAATTTGTTCCCATATCCACCATTCATATAAATTTTTTCTCCTCTCTCTCTTCCACCCACCCACACACTCCCTACTCCCCATAAGCACATAAACGCATGGGAAAAACATAAACGCACACACACAATCCACAATATGGCTAGGAAGTCTGTTAAAATCTCATTACATTGACTCCAGGCTGAGGGGACTGATCTTCAACATTCTTCTTTGTTTAGCACTGATGAAGCCACTGCATGGCAAAACATTTCCTCAATAAAGGTACCAAGTGTTGCATGTGTGTGTGTGTCTAATTCTCAACTTTTCGGCTCCCTGAACCATCTCTTAACACTCAGCAAGAAATTTAGTGAGGTATTCTCAGAAGAGACAGGAAAGCTACCACAGAAAAGCAGCAGCAGACTGCACCACCAAGTGCTGGACACAATACATACAACTGGGAAGAAGTGAAGAAGTTATTGTGTGAGCCAGATACCGGGAAGGCAGGGGGGGCCAGATAATATCTGTCCATGGGCCCTGAGAGAGGGAACAGAGGTAGTGTGTGTGCCACTTGCAAAAATTTTCAACAAGTCAATCATAAGAACATAAGAAAGGAGGAGCACTGCAGCAGGCCTATTGGCCCATGCTAGGCAGGTCCAAGTCACACCCACTTAAAAAGGAGCATTGCGCAGGCCTATAGGAGTCTGTTCCATTCACCTTTTACCTTGATGAGTTCTAAGAGTTTTTCTACTCCCAGAGCCTGGCCATAGGCTATGCTCATTTGGTGCTTGCCCAATCAACCAGATGTTGCTGGTGGTGGTCTGCTGACACACACATCATCACAGCCAGGCTGATCTGGCATCTGGTGAAGATAGTGTACTTATCCACAGCTCTATTACCAAACTTATGCTTTTTATATCCTTTCTAAATTGACATAGAGCAACTGCTGGAGGTGTAGAAAACAGCAAATGTGATTCCAATCTTTAAAAAAAGGAGACAGATAGGTAGAGTTAAGCTACAGACTCATGTCACTGGCATGCATAGCACTGAAGGTTATGGAGAAGATTCAGAAAAGTGGTGGAGCACCTAGAATGGGGTGGAGTTCATACATGACAACCAGCATGGCTTAGGAAAGGGTAAATCTGGTCTCACAATCCTACTGGAGTTCTATAATAAGGTAACAAAAGTAAGGCAGGAAAGAGAGGGATAGATTGCATCTTCTTGGAATGTAGGAAGGCTTTTGACAGAGTACCACATAAGAAACTGGTACAAAAGCTAGAGGAGCAAGGAAGAATAAAGGCAAAAGCATTACAATATATCAAAGCATACCTAACGAGTGATTGTTCAAGAAGAGGTATCGGAGTGGGGTACATGTGATAGTGGGGTTCCACAAGCATCAGTACTAGGGCTGGTACTATTTTTTTGTATGTTTGAATGACATGATGGAAGAGACAGTCAGAGGCGCCCATTTGCAAATGATATGAAACCAATTAAGATTGGGTACATGTGATGAGTGGGGTTCCACAAGCATCAGTACTAGGGGTGGTACTATTTTTTTGTAAAGTTTGAATGACATGATGGGAAAAACAGTCAAGGCGCCCGTTTGCAAAAGATATGAAACCAATTAAGAGTGGGTACATGTGATGAGTGGGGTTCCACAAGCATCAGTACTAGGGCTGGTACTATTTTTTTGTATGTGTGAATGACATGATGGAGGAGACAGTCAGAGGCGCCCGTTTGCAAATGATATGAAACCAATTAAGATTAAGATATTTATTTTGACAAATTACATGGTTGTACAGAGGAATATAATAGTTGGGTGTACATGCCAAAAGCCCCTTTTTATGCAGAGCATTTCGGGCAAACTTAAAGATTAACTTAAGATTAGTAAGGCAATAATACATAGTTCATATGGTCATTAGATGAGTTACAGTGAGTACAGGAGAACTGAATAATTTATCAGGTACTGCTACATGGTTCTGATAAGTCTAGTAGAGAGTTATTACACTATTGAATCAGTTAATAGAGATTACAATATTACAATGTAACAATTTAAAACAATTTACAATATGATGTATTACAGCCTAGTACTATTTAAAACAATGAAATTTGTTATTACAATGGAACAATTTACATTATGATGTACAGTATTACAATCTACTACTATTTGAAACAATGAAAAAACAGGCATCCTAATTTTGAAATAGTAAGTGGTTGAGCTTTCATCAGTACAATATGAGTAGCTTTTGAGAAACTAGAAGTGATTAGGTATGGTTTGTCTGGTTAATTTTAGGTGGTGAGGTGATTTCTTATTAGTGCCTTAAACTGGTTTGCAGACAGTGGTCCTTTAGTGTGTTCTGGCAATGAATTCCAGATCTTCGGGCCTTTTACTTGCGTAGCATTCTTGTATAGGGAGAGATGAACACGAGGGATATCAAAGAGTGATCTGTGTCTTGTATTATGGTTGTGTATTCTGTTACAGTTATCAAGGAGGAGTTTGAGAGGAGGGTTTACATTAGAGTATAGTGTTCTGTGTATGTAGTAGGCACAATAATAAGTGTGGATGTTGTGTATATTTAGCAAGTTAAGACTCTTGAAAAGAGATGGAGTGTGTTGCCTAATGCAGGAGTTAGTAATCAAACGCACAGCAGCTTTTTGCTGGGTTATTAACCCTTTCAGGGTCCGTCCCGTAGATCTACGGCTTTACGTTCAGGGTCCAAACCGTAGATCTACGTCATGAGCTCAGCTCACTCTGATAAACTGTGAGTGGTACATTTGGGCCTAGATAGGAGAGAATACGTCTATGTGGTATGTGTGCACCACATAAAACAGATCCTGCAGCACACTGTGTATAATGAGAGAAAAAAACTGAAATCATGATTTTTCGATTAAAACAGCGACTTTGCATTGTTTTTCGTATGTTTTTTATAGTTGTATTTGCGATTTCTTGGTCTCATTTGATAGAATGGAAGACATATTACAGAAATAGAGATGATTTTGATTGGTTTTAAGCATGGAATGGCTTGAAACTGAGCTCAAAGTAGCAGAAATGTTTAAATTTTTGACGGATATTCAGAGTAAACAAACAAATTCACACGTCTAATACACGCCTGCGGGTGGTCTAATACATTCACAAATATGGTATGATATTTTACAATTATTACAGTATTGCATAATGGTAAATCTTCTATTTTTTGTTTTGAATAAAAATTCCATTATGTGAATAAAAAGCAAATGGAATTTATTTGTAAAGCCTCAAATATTAACTAATGTAACAGAGGAAAGTGTTAGTTTAGTTCCAGGAATACCTGCATTGTTTATTCTGGACCCTATTTTGAAATTGGAATACAGTGGACCCCCGGTTAACGAACTTTTTTCATTCCATTAGAATGTTCAGTGCCAGTACTGACCGAATTTTTTCCCATAAGGAATATTGTGAAGTAGATTAGTCCATTTCAGACCCCCAAACATACACGTACAAACGCACTTACATAAATACACTTACATAATTGGTCGCATTTGGAGGTGATCGTTAAGCGGGGGTCCACTGTATTTTGAACTTTGTGTTAAATTGGCCAAATTAACAATTTCCGATCACTTTAATTTGTACTTGAAACAGTTGACTTGGCGATTTCTTGTGCTCAATCGATAGAATAGAAGTAATACTAGTGAAATAGCTAAGAATTTGGTTGACTGGAATAATGTAATTGGCCTAAAATGGGAGTCAAAGTCGTCAAAATCGCCGATTCGTAAATATCGCTGACACATAAAAATTCGCGAGCATAATTTCATCAATTTTCCATCAAATTTCGTACTTTTTGTTTTAATACCTTCACAAAAAGATTCTCTACCATTTCATAAGAAAAAATAACAATTTTTTTTTTTAAATTCTTGGACACTGGGGCACCACTTCAGATTTGGGCCTTGGACCCTGAAGGGGTTAAAGGCTTAAAGTGATTTGCTGTTGCTGAGCCCCATGCACAAATACCATAGGTGAGGTAAGGGTAAATGAGAGAGTGGTACAAAGCTAGAAGAGCCAATTGGGGTACATAGTACTGTATCTTTGAAAGGATGCCTACTGTTTTGGAGACTTTCTTGGAAATTTGCTATATGTATGTCT